ATGTAGCACCACCTCCACCGCCAGAGAGCGATGACGAGGCAGTGGATGGATCCCAGTTTTGCATTGCGCCACACGGGCCCCCGTATCCAGGTCATAGAGTTCACCAAGGAGGATCTCTTCAAGGAGGACGCTCCGATGGAGGAGCAACCTCAAAAGTCTCCGGAAGCCGGAGAGGCCAGGGTCACGCAGTATAGTGCTTGTGCGCAAGATCTAGGCTGCCTCAGACGCTTCCGTGCAAGCTTGGAAGCGGCAGGACGTGTGTTCTCCCGAGCCACCATCGAACGAGGCCTCCAGTTTCGATCGACTGCAAGCCTTCTCGGTTGTTTGGAAATCTGTGGAATTGTCAGACTCTCGATGCGGATATCCGCAGTGTGCTGACGCCCTCGGAGCGTTCGGCACCTTCTGAGCGACGCGAGGCCGTGAGGTTCCTGAAAGATGTGGGCTTGAATTTCAATGCAGTGAGCGGTTCAGGTCCACACGAGTGTCGCAGCTATGAATCTGACGGATCTTCTGGCCGAGAATGAGAAACTCAGAGTGGCTGCATCTCATTGCAATGAGTGCTTCTTGCCAGAGCGCTTTTTTCAACAGCTTTGCACAAGGCAGGGCTGAGCGAAAATGAGAACTTCTCCTGGCGTCCCGGTGCGACTATTCCTGCGCACACTGGCACCTTGCCCTTCCTGGTTCCCATAAGTTCCCATTGGTTCCCGTGTCCATTATCCCTCCGCCTCTCACTGCTTTCTGTTTGGCTTTTCAAGGGCTGCCAGTGGAGCCCCGCCAGACTCGTGGCTCTGTGTGCCGCAAGCGGGGCAACGTGGCCCCCAAGCTGAAGTTTAGCTAAGGTCAATGTTCACATCACCCTTACGCAGCTCATGCACAGACATCATGACCACACCGAGGCAACAGACTTCTACGGTGACTGGAGCACAGGTTCTGCGGGCTTACCGCACTGGCACTACAAGAGCTCTAGCACCCCCACTGCACACCAAGTTGAGTGTTGAACTGCAGTGTTCTCCGATTCGAGGTCCGTTTCGCAGAAGATCGAAGACCTTGCCCAAAATGCCTCGCTCGCTAGATTAGTGTCTCTGATGTCAGACCGTGTAGAGGGGTTGCGGTACCAGGAGCTTGCAGACGAGTCCTTCAGCCGTGGAGGTTCTACCACCACTCAGCGAGGCTCATATACCAAGACAGGAGGCCACGTTTCCTTTTTTGGGGCGTCTTTCGCTCTTGGCAGGCACTGCCAATCTCTACACATCTCGCAGATGCCCGGCAGGCAGCAGCGACCCCCTTATTGCACTAATGGCATCGTGCGTGGTAGCCAGGCCATCTGCGCTGCACGGGGCACGAGCAGGTCTCTGCCTTGGACGGGTAGCTCTCATCGCCTGCAGAGTGTTAGATGCTCCGTGGTAGCGCTATGGTCTACGATCCGTGGTGGCCTTTTTTGACTCAACCAGCTGCGATTATGCGGCTGTGCCTGCACCATACTTGCAGGCTGACAGGATTGTAATGGCGTGATGATTAGGGGTGAGGGGCCAACAAGAGCTCCTCACATCCGCAATGTGCATAATATGTTTGCAGTCCTTTGAGTAGCCGCGTCGCCCAGGCTGGGGGTGCAGCGAGGCTGCGACTCGCTTCTTCGCTTGTCGCTTCGTGCAGACCTTGAAAATCGCAATACATGTAGCTTCCATCAGAGCAGGGATGCAAAGTGGAGCTGAGGCTTCGTGACTCAGGCAACGTGAAACTGTGCGTTTGACATGTCTCTCCAAAGGAGAGCTGAGTGACGAGTGGAGGAAGTGCTCAAAACAGAGCGGTGCGGCGGTGCGGATCCGGGCGGCGAAGGCGGAGCTTTTGCCCGAAGCCTCGGTGCCAGGTCTTCACAGAGCAGGGCATCGAATGGGCGAAGCTGGCCAAAGGCTCTGTGCGACATACGTCTCGCTATGTCTTGCTTCTTCTTGTGAGATTTTTGGGCGAAGAGACGCTGCCGCTTCAGATGATGTGCGACAACGTAGCTGGGAGGTGCATGTGCCATACGCAGCCACATGCAACAGGAGGCGGGCAGGGATCGCCCGGACATGGGGCATGTAGCACGGAACCGCGGAACATGTTCCAAACACAGGTGCCGCTGGACCTGGCAGAAGATGGCTTCGTGGCGACAGTCGGGGCCTCGTTTGGGCTCCGGGTGTCTCCGGGTGCGTTCGGAAACTGTGGACCGCACGCCGTGCGTCTCTGCTCGCGCTCCAAACCGAATCACAGTCTGCTCTTCTGCTATTCTTGCGCAAGGCCCTGGCGCCCTTCGGCACTCAGCTGCGCAAGCAAACCGCGATGCCTGCATCTTGTCGCAGTCTCTCAAGAGCAAAGGTCGGTAGTTTGGCTGCCAGGATGCCATTCAGGATGGGGAGGCCAACGAGGCAGTGCTTTCTAAGAAGGTCATCAACGAAGCTTGGGGCTGAGTACAGATGCCTCCTATACCTGCTTTGGCACATCTTGGTTTGTCAACTGATATATGACCAGGTCCTGTCCATGAGCTCCGATCCAGGCCACATGTTGCACTTCCGAAGCCTTTGTACAGCACAAGAGGGCCGCGGTACTCGAGCTTGGAAGAGGTTAGGATGACGTGCTTGAGTGCCGCAGTTCATCTTACCTGGATCAAGAAGCATGGGTGTTCATTGTGTTTCTTGTAGTCGTCAATGCCAATGCATGAGGTATGTGATGTGTTATCCCATGTCTGATGCTGACAGATGTTACAGATTTGAAGGAGACTCGTCGTATCATATTCGCTAGGCACCATCCATAGAACGCAATCTTCCGTTTTAATATCCCCGATTGTGCCTCTCTCTTGCAGGTGCATGGCTCAGAGTGTCTTCAGTGTCATTGCTTTGGGTGTTTTACACGAATCCCGAGTAGGACAATGTGACGCACGAGCTCGGATCGGCCGACTTGTAACGCTGCATGTGTCAGACAGGCTAACTGTAATGTCCGGCTTTTGTCGAGGTTTATGCGGCTAGGCACATAGATTCTGGAGGGCTTGGAGCTTCTTACGCCATGTTCTTCCGTCGTTCGCCCGGGTAGAATCCTTTGCCTCCGAGTCTGCCACTTGCATGGGCAGTACTAAGGTTGAGCACGACCTTCCTGTGTCTTCACCAGAGATGGTGCGATGGGCTGTGACGGGGTGATGGGGCCTGGCTGGAAGTTTTTCTGCTCGTGACCCGAATCAGGCTCCCATGGAGTCGCTTGATGTGGCTTCGAAGAAAGAGCTGCTGAAACCCGGCCGCAAGGCCAGTACGCACGTGTGCGCGAAGATGACTCCTGCAAGATGACTCATGCTCTCCAGGTGCCGCCTTCGCCTCCCAGGCCCCGGCCAAGGCCCGCTGTCGAGGCACAACAGGGTTGAGAAAAGAGAGTAACCACAAAAAGATTCGGAGGCTGTGTTGTTTTCATAGGGGCATGGATGCCTAGCCATGCGTGTATTGGCACGCCGTGATTATGTTGTGTCGTGGTTGGCCCCCACCCCCTACGCACTTTCATCGATTTCAGGTTGTGATTTTGAGTACACTTTTGACTCTCTTTGGGAGCGGGCGTGGCCAACTTGACGGCGCTTCCGTGGAGTCCCCTGTCAGGTACCTTGGTTCATGCTGGGGGAACCTGCCATTGACACTTTGACCGGGCCTCAGTGGGACTGGCCTGCACAAGGCCTAAGATTGGTTTCACGGATGTGAACGGATTCCTTTGCTTGGAAAGTGGCATGCAGTTGCAGCAGTTGTAGTTGTACGTTGTAGTTGCAGTTGAAGTTGTAGTTGCAGTAGGAGTAGTAGTAGTAGTAGTAGCAGGAGTAGTAGTAGCAGGAGTAGTAGTAGTAGTAGTAGTAGTAGTAGTAGTAGTAGTAGTAGTAGTAGTAGTAGTAGTAGTAGTACTAGTAGTAGTAGTACTAGTAGTACTAGTAGTGTAGTAGTAATAGTAGTAGCAGTAGTCGTCGTCGGCGTAGTTGTAGTTGTCAATGTAATTGTTGGTAAGTGTAAATGTTGTACATGAAAAAGTAAATGTAAGTGCTGCTGCTGTTGTTGTTTCCAGACGGCCGTTTAGAGGGGCTTTCGAACTGGCTCCGGGCACAGTTCCTTGCCAAAGGTTCCGACCAGGCTCCTTTTAAACGGTCAGGGGTTGTCCCGGACGCTGAGCCATGTTAATCCGGTCCAACTTATGCCCAGACACTGTTAAAGCATTGACTACTGTGCACGCGGTAGGGTTTCCACCTTCCGCGCGTGGCATTACTGCCAGTGCATTCACAAAATGCTTTTCAGACTTGGAAAAAATCACATACAGTCAGCAGCCAGCTTCCTATTGAGGTCAGGTGCTCACACCTACGCAGGTTCGTCGCATGGGCAACTGCCCTCCGCAGGTCAACGCAGCTCCCGCGGCCACCCCGTCCAGGCCACGAGCATAACAAAGAAATCCGGATACTTTTTTGGAATACTGGGACTTACACGACAGCAGCAATGGTTCGAAATACAGTCCTGGCTGTTCGCAGATGCTCCGCCTCTCGGCTGAAGTTCCCACGTCCGCCGAGCTTCTGTCCTCGGGGCTACCTGGATTCGGAAACCCAGCGATATTTTGACTTCCCTTTGGATTTCGAGGGACCGCTTGATCCTTCACAGACGGTGCCGAAAGTTCAGGCCGAGCGTGCCGAACGGGCCGCGCTGTACAAGGCACTTGCGCAAAGCGGGGCCGGCTGAAACCGGTGAGGGTGTCGAAGGCTCGTGTGAGGTGTGCCAGACGATTTGGTCAAAGACCGTTTGGACCAGGCCGGGCAACACTTTGTGCGATGTGCCCAGCTACTGGTCAGCCTCCATGGCGTCAGCAAGCGCGCTCCTCCCGATAATCCTCAGATTTGAAGGGCTGTTTGTATTTGTTCCAGGTGTCGGAGCAGAGGCTCGTAAAGAATCTCCTTCAGGGAGCCCATCCTCCGATTGAGTGTGTCCACGTTTTTGGGCACCTGTTCGCGGAGTTCGTGGAGGAGGATGAGCGTGTCCGGGTCAGTCCTGCGAGCAGCCGGTGAAGGGCCTGACCTCGAAGCGCAGCCCCTGCTTTCAGGGATTTCCAGGGCTTTGGGTCATTCCTTGTTTGGCTCTGCTCCGTCATCTCCTTCTCTCCGTCGCCGGTCCCTCGCCTTGCTCGCCATGGCCTTGCGAGCTTACGGAAACTGGCTGCATGAGCTGCGGCCCGCCGAGCACAGCGTGTCCCGATTCCCGAGCCGCTGCTGAAGGCTCTCGTTGCCCTCGCCTGAGTCACGGCGCATCCAGACTTCGCTGCAGTTACCCTCTTCGCTTTCTACGGTTTGGGAAGGAAAGGTGAGGTTTTGGCCGCCAACACAGAGGATTTGTTGCGCCACAAGAGGATCTCTGAGAAAGCTCAGGACATCTCTTTTTCAGGCTGGGATCTTCAAAGACTTCAACGAGAGGACGAGGACGAGTCCGACACAATAAGCTTTAAGGTCACTGATCCATATGCTATATTGCTGATTGGTGAAGCAGCTTTGGAAGGTCCGAGCCGTCTTTACGCGAAGACGGCCTCGGCTCATCGCTACCGATGGAACAAGCTGCTTCAGCTGCTCGGTGTGGACTCAGCCCTGAGACTTGCACCTGGGCGCGGCGGTGGAGCCGTTTGGTGCTGCAGAGCTGGCGTGCATATCGACGACATTCAGTGGCGGATGCGCCTGATGCACCCTGCAACCGTGGAGTTCTACTTACTACTGGCAGGAGGTTGCGGCCATCACTGCTCTGAACGCCTTGGGCGACTCTGCCATGCGGAAGATCAAAGCCGGGGCCGCGACCTACCCTTATGTTGCTGCGGCCGGTGGCAACCAATGAAGTCCCCTTCTGCCAGCATGCTGGGCCTGCGACCGCTTCGGCGCGTGGGCGCTCGTCGCCCCTTCTCGGGCCGTCTGGCCGTGGATGATGATGGGTGGAACTGTTTACTGTGTCCGCTTTTATGGTCATCTTGGATGTACGATCTCGATGCGACCACTTGCTTTTGGCTTCGGCCGCTTCGTGCTACGGTCGCAGGGCTAACTCGGCACAAGACAGGACTACCCGTGCACCTTCCTGAGGCATGCTGCTCAAAAGGCCGATGCAGGGGGTTAACTCCAAGGGGGGAAGCAGGGGTACAACATGATATTATTACGACCCTGCCTCCAACAACAACTGCAAGAACAAGCACAACTTCGTTCTTTACGTTGACAGCATTGGTACGTCGGAATTTTGTTTTTTGCGGGAGGTGCTCTCCTTAGGTGGGACTTTCTCTCTCAAGAGGGAATTTGTTTACTTTTTCACTTGACAACGAGCTTTCCTCAGCAATTATCTTCTTCCAAGACGATGTCGAGGTAGAAGATGGGCAATCAGTTCAAGGGCGAAAGCGACTTCATTGCCAGATTGCGACTGCATGACAGCCACGC